CACACACACACACACACACACACACACACACACACACACACACACACACACACACACACACACACACAGTCTATCTGCGTCTTAATAGTAGGTCAATTACGCACTGATGCTAAAAACACAATTCCCCACCAAGGCAACATTATGCAACAAGTCTGTGTGGTTTTGTTTATGTACATGTTTTTTATGTGTTTAAAGAGAAGGTTTTGTTGTATTTTACACGCACGCACTTGTTTCACATGCAGACTTTAGTCATGAATTTCTCAAAGGTAAGTTAGGCTAGGCTACTTGTGCAACAGGAAATGACTGGAGAAAAATAAACGCGGACATAAACGGTTAGACACGAGTGTCCTGAGAATAATTGAAGATGCGGTCAGTTTATTTTAAGCTCCTGGTGACTAGCCCACATCAAGTCTGTGATTAAATGTTTTATCTGAATTAAAACCCAGGTATATGACTCTTCGTGTGAGATGTAAAGCGTGAAAACGGTTTCTGTGCCTTTCTTTAGTCTTAGCATTTAACGTCTGAGGCCTTTCCTATTAAATCTAACGTTAAAGCTAATCCCTAAAAAACAAACAAATCCAACCGAATTGATCATTAGTCTAAGTTTTGCTGTCCACTTTCATTTCTTTATGTGCCAATTTCTGGCGCGCTGTGTCAGACTTGAGGCTCTAAGCCGCCAGATTTCAACTTTTGTTCGTTCGTTTCCTGGATTTTCAGTCCCCGTAGAAAGTTCTGGCTTCTCTAATTTACCCTTGACCATGACTATGCAGTCACTTTGACCTTGACATCACAGCGGATTGTGAATAATAAATAGGGGGTTGGACACCACTGCTGACGGTTTGTTTGTAGGCAAACAAGGTGTTATTTCCCAGTCTAGACAGACGGACTTAATGACATGCCATAAATACATAAAAAGGGGAAGTGTAGCGATATCCTCTGACCTGCGACTCTGACCATCTCTAAGAGCGGTGCATTAACATTTTGACTCAGTTGTTTTTTTCTTTTCTTTCACCCCCCCTCTTTTTTTAAGAAGTCATCTAAAAGTACTTGTTCTAGCCCGTACCTCCCAAACCACCAATGGTTTCATGCACTCATCATGAGGTGTGTGTGTTATTGACCACGGAGGACAGGTAGAACTTTTGACGCCTCACACCAACATCAGTAACCCTCAGCAAGCAGCCATACTGCCTACACAGCAAGAGGAAATAATTATACGACGTCGCCCACAATAAAACAATTAAAGGTACGGCTGTTTTCTTCCTAATATGGCAGTAGGCCTACATGGACTTTGTTTTAGGACATTTTGTAGCTTTCAAAAAAAAGTACACTGAAAAAACAAAAGTAAGGAAAAATATGCTGTGACAAGCATAACCTTAATTTTTAAATGTGGTTTATTTCTGTCGATGAGCTACACTTCGTACAGCGACGACGTGAACGTTTTCATATGTAAAAATGCACAGCTGTTTATATGTATTTTGTTTCAGAACAAAAGTATGCGCTATGTATTTTTTCTTTAGCTGTGTATTTAAAGTCCGACCAGTAATTTGCCACATAAGTTGGCTAATCTACACCAGCAAAATGCAGTGAAACGAGCGGAAAATGCGCTTTAAAACATACGCGTGTGTAATGCTGTAACAACCATGTTTTTAGAGCGTTATATATATACGAAGAACGAGAAATGGTACAGTACATAAACTCATGTGTAAATGTATCAGCGTCGCAATAAGCTACACGGTTCCCCTTTTTTCATCTGCTCAGTTTTAGGCCCAAATCGACATCTATGCCAAATATGTTAAATAGCCAGATTAGTATTTTATGTGCCAAACGGGGAATTATGCAGCATATTAAACCATACAAAACTGCTTCAAAACTAAAAGAAAAAAGTAGCCCTTGCGTTTTGCTGTATGTGGAGGTGTGAAAGCAGCAGGCCACCGTCAGCTATGAAAAAGGGGGCTGATAACCTCTGGTGGTGACCAGAGGAAAATATCAGGAAGTGTTGCAACAGCATTTTTCTTAATGTGTTTTCGTTCATGTCTAGTTTTAGCGCCTGGCTGACATTTTTTTTCAGTGCTTTTGACAATATTTGCGGAACACGGAGCTTACCTTTGTTTCATTTTGTCCAATTATTTTAAAGTAAAAAAGATTTTAAAAAAAGGAAAGTTTTCTGTCAGCATTTAAAGTTGAAGCCTGACGTTTAAAGCTGACAGAATGCCATTTTTATCTTAGTTATTTTGCAAGGGCACTGCTGTCTGAATGAAACCTTATATTATACCATCAGTGCAAAATTATTTGATGTCTGTAAATGTGTTATTTGATGTATTCTAGGCGTAATATGCCCGATCAATGTAAGACGCAGAAGGCTACCGAGACTTTCAGCGTTTAGTTGTTTTATTTATTTATGCATTTATTTGTTGACCTCACTGGAAAAAAAGGCGACTTCATATTTTTTTAAAAGCTGCACACTGTTCAAACATGTTACAAGTGAATTAAATCTTGCTAGGCATACAAGCCAAGTTTTGTTCGAAAATTCATAATCTAATAGTCATAAACAGCCCTAGTTAATTAACACTTTATAGTCAAATTTTTTGATTAAACAATTTACTATACAGGCGCACAGGATACTAAAGTTGTCAAGTTTGGATTAAAAATTAAAACAGCTAATAAAATAAAGAAATCAAAGAAAAAATATTCTTGTCTAACATTTTTTGACAGTTTCTTTCGATGCAGCTGAGCACAAAGTGACGGTCAGGTTCAGATATTGATTTCTATAAAGTGAAGCTTTACTATTGATCCTTAGTTTGCGTATTTTAATTTTTTAATTTTTAATTTTTACACAACAATCTCCGGGTTAAATTATAATGAATATGTATTCTATTTGGGTTGTTTTTAGCTTTCTTATTTTGAAATTCAAAATAATAATAATATCATTTTCCCTCGGAATGATATGCGCTGTTCTTAGAGATACAAGTAGCAGAATTCGTATTTTATCAAAAGAATGCATATAGTTATTTTTGCAAGAAAACCGCATAAAACACAGTGTGTTGCTGTAAACAAACAAACAAACAAACAAACCAAAAAAGCTCTTCCAAAACATTTCATCTAAAACGTTACCACTTTGTGGTTCCTTATACTTCCCTTGGTGGTTAGTTTTTCTTGAAGGAGGCTTTTAAGGGGTTGCACATAGCTATAACTGTGGCAACCTGCCTGCCGAGAATCAAAGAGAGAAAAGGGGAAGAAAAGCCCTTTGTTTAGGCTATTGCCCTGTCTGGACAGGGACCAGGGGATTGCACGAGACTGTTTTCAATATCGAGCAGACAGTGTACTAGACAGTGACCTTGACAGTGCTATATGCTTTAAGTTCTTTATTTTAAATAATAGATTTTCGTTATGCTAGAGCACAAGGCCTATAGCCCACGGTCACATATGACATCATCGTCGAGCTAAAGATGCACAGAACAGACGTGCAGTTGTTTGCACGTGAAATCCGGATCTGTGGGATACTTTGGATCAGAGGCGTGGAGAGACGAGGCAAGGAGGCGCAACACATGGCCTCTTTCTCCGAGGTAAAGTGGCGACTTAAGCCTGCACATTACTTAACGCATGGACGTCCGGGACATTTTGTTGTAAACATCACACTGTGCTGTTTTGCTTTTGTCAACTGTTATAATAACATGAGAAGCTGTGAAGTGATAGCGAGGCACCCAAATGCTTTTCATAAGACCGAGGCCTAAGATATTATACTGGATTGATGTTGTGCTGCATTGCGAGACTCCCTAACTAGATGCAAGAATGTGCAGTGATAGGAGAGGCAGTGAGACCAAGGGAGAGAGATAAACCCCGACAGATCCCCAAGAGCTTCTCCAGTTTGAACATTTGATATTTGTTCTTTCTATTTAAGGCTAGAGCGAGGCCCGGTGCCTTTCGGTTAGATTGGATACATGGTCACAAGTTACGGACACAGCTATCAGATATCGGCTGACTTGCAAATCGTTCCCAAACAGTGTTTAGGTGAATGCTAATGTTCTCACATAACACCTCATTGGCAAATTTCTAATTGGCAACTAGCGACATTCAGTACGCATGTGCAGGCTTCTGTAAGCCGGCGCATTTCTGTTAATGCATAAATTCATAGTGCTGCTGTCAATAAATAAAGGGAATATTAATGTATTTTATATTTGGACCTTTACAGCAGATTTTCTTTTCTTGGTGCTATGTTAACAAGGCTGATATTTTACATTTGTTTTTAATAAGCAACATGGAATTCGGTGCATTATCAAATATACGGATTATATATCTTTAAATTTAATGGAGATATCAACTCTCACAATACATACTGCAGTTTGCTGAACCTCATATCTATTCCTTTATTTTAATGGAGTATTAAAGTTCAACATCAAGTTCATCCCACCTTGTGTCGTGAACTTGAGTAGGCTGACGATGACATAAGTGGGCTATGTTATAGCTATGATTTTTTTTTAAATATATGTCGTCGGACTTTTTAAACCACCTTGATTGAAATAAGCGGAGACTGGATTATGACAACTTTAGTAATTATATAAATTGATTTTTGGTAGTGGTGGTGGTAGCAAAATTTGAATTTGCAGGGCGATTGCAATAAACTGTTGCTGGACTCGTATAATACTGAAAGAGTTTAAACGACTGTGCAGTCTTCTTAGATTTATTTATTTATTTTCAAGAACAAGAAGCCTGTGTATCCTTGAGGGGAATACAAAAGCCATGGATCACTTATAAAAATATGTGCGAGGATTATGGTCATTTGATGACCACGGACCACATTAGAAATAGTTGGGCCAGCTGTTTGCAGAATACCTAAATCACGTGCATATGATAGTGATTTTTTTATTTATTATTTTTGAAAGAAACTGCACTTTGGCGGACTCTGAAAAGTTTGCGTGTGTGTGTGCGTGCGTAAACAGAGCGCTTTTGTCAGAAAATAGGATGACGGTATCACAGAATATCTCATATTTGTTCAGTGTCTTCCGAGCTGCATCCACAAATCAACTAATTAGTGCGTTATAAAGCAGATAGACTCTCGGCTGATTGAATCAGCTAAGGGCCCTCTGATATCTTGTAAAATTCATATAAAAGAATTGTGAGAGGTATAACAATCCCACCAGAGTTTGGCTGCGAACGTTTATTGGCGGTATCTGTTAAAGTTGTTCATGTGAGGTGTACTAGAGAATATTATGTGAAATATACCCTCTTAAAGTAACCTTGTAGAATATCGTCCTCCTTTACAGAGCCAGTGGCTTCAACCTGCTGACCCCGTTACTGTAAATATGAGTAGAGTGCGGCAATGAGCATCAGTCTTTTCTTAAAACAAGCTTGTAAAATTGGGACATCACAGCTTTATATGACACGGAATTCGACCATAATTTGCTAGAAAACAAGATGTCATATGCACCCTCTCCTTCAAGAAAAAATAGTTTTCATAAGAAATAGCATTTAAAAAACTTTTGCCAGCTTATAAAGATATTAAACGAGGCCATGGACAGTTCCACGAGTGTAAAAGGAGAAACAGTCTGGGCTCCTTTTGGACGCGGCGTTGCTCGAGTGAGCAAAAACAAGATTCTACATTTTTAATAAAAGGTTTATAGTATTTTTAAAAAGCATATAAACCTCAGTAATACAGAAGTTAATGTTTTGTTTTGTCTGAGATGGACCAAGTGGGTGGTACCATGTGTAGCAGAACTTAGCCTGGACACGTGGTCTGAGAATGACCAATCAGGCGCTCCTCCAGGTTTAACTACGTTAAATGTCAGATTGCAATAAACTAGAAGCTGTTGGTCGGGCCCGCGGAAATGGGCGAGCATAATCTCCTTAATCCAGGGTTTGTGGGACCTTTGGTAAACATCCACACTGGAGACACATTTTACTTTCCGAATTTTAGAGCCTCAGGGGGACAACTGGCGGGGCTACCGTCTCTCTCGTACCCGAGAAGGGACAACGTTTGCTCCCTCCCGTGGAATCCTTCGGAGCCGTGCAATGGATACTCTCAATCCTACTTTAGCAGCCCCGTGTCTATTAACCCTTCCTTCAATCGGTCGTGTGAAATTACCAGACCAGAGGAAGGCAAATGCTATTACAACAATGGCAACGGGAATAGGGAGACCTGTTCAGGTGGCAGCAGTCTCAAACGAGAGGATAGGGCGAGAGACACATCATCCCTAGCATCTGACCACGGGATGCACAGTGGAATTGGCAGCACGGCTGCCTTTTCTAAATACGATTATGGGACCGAGCAGCTAACGCAAGACCCGCCATCCTGTCAGTCAATGGAGTCCGATTCCAGCTCCTCTCTGCTCAACGAGGGCAGCAAGCCTTCATCCAGCGACACACAGACCCTGGTGTCACCGGGAAGCCATTCCAGCAACATAGCCGCAGGCGGAGGTGAGCGTATTTTGTTTTTAACCACAGTTCTCACAATCGCACCTTCACATTATTTATAAGAAAGAACAGGCTGCGCACAGCGTACATTTGCCGTATTAAACCGTCATTAGAGCTCGTTATCTTGATGCACAACATGCAGCTTAGGTTAGCCTGCAGGGTACTTGCGTGGTGTGCAAACGCCACTAGGGGTTGCCCTAAAATACTCCATGCGCCATGTGTGTGTGTACAGTTAGCGATAACCCCCAACAATCCATATCACAAGCAGCGTTTGAGTAAACAATTCAGTTCCGCCTTCTATTTTTTATAGCTTAGGCGAGGTTCTGTTACTTAGACATATAAACGGTTGACTTTGGTCTATTTTGTTCGCACTCACACAGATCAGTGCAGTGATTTAAAGAAGTGAGTCGCTTTGGTTGACTGCATCGAATAGAGACAGTTTTCTTTTTAATGACTCGTAAACCGAATTAATCTCTGTCGCTGTAGACTCAGGAGTCATTTAATATGCTTTGAAAGTCGCAAATAAGTACGGGGTATTTGCAAGCACGGCTCAATTACCACGTTAATGCTGCTTTAACTGCAACAATAAAACTTCCTGTGACACAAACCGCGGTATATTGGTGGGCTCCATAAAGGTGGCTGATTTTTTTTATACGTGGGGAACAAAAATGAAACGAAACTGGACAAGTCCTGATTTACAAATATTGGGATTTGAGTCAGAGACCAAAACAAATTCGTGGTACATGTGCAGGGAATGACAGCTTCCAGGGGCATTCGTTTTCTCAGTTATAAAGCACAAGCACAAGCCCTACATCATGGATGTTTAGCAAATCACATCAGCTTACTCCAGCTAAACCAAAATAATACATTTATTTACATATACACATATTTAGAAAAGCGCCTTATCACAATGCTATTTAACAGGTTTGCTCTAACATGGCGCATTGCATACTGACTTAACTAGAGAGGCAACTTGACTTGGACAGCTGATGCTCCAGTAGGTTCCCCATAACCTTGGAGGTGACCGTGATTTTGCAACCGTGGTGACTAATCCACTGTGTGCTCCCCTCCTCTCCCCTCTTCTCCAGGTGCCCCGTGGTACCCGATGCACACTCGGACCAGAAAGAAGCGCAAACCTTATTCCAAGCTTCAGCTGGCTGAGTTAGAAGGTGAATTTATGCTGAACGAATTCATCACCAGGCAGCGGCGGAGGGAACTCTCCGATCGTCTGAACCTCAGTGACCAACAAGTCAAGATCTGGTTCCAGAACCGCAGGATGAAGAAGAAGAGACTCATGCTGAGGGAGCAAGCTTTGGCCTACTTTTAGAGATGCGGCAGAAGGTGAATCGATAGGCAGTAAAAAAGAAAAAGAAAAAAAAAAAGAAAAGAAAAAGCCAAGCCTTCTACGCTCCCTTAGGTCTTCTTTTAGTGCATGCAACCATCTACCCATCTTTTACATTGCAAGCATTTATTACCCTACTTTATTTCTAATATTTTTATATCAAAGGTGCGGGTTGCAAAAACCCTAAACAAGCCGCTGCCTGGCATCCAAAGCTATACACGTCAGTGAGTCTTCACGTTTTGGTATAATCGCACAGAAGAAGCTGTGAGAATGTGTTTTTTGTGCGTGTGTTTTACTTTATCCCGATCTGTCATGACATTAGTGTACGGCCTAAATGTGTCTTTAGTGTAACATCTTTTCGGTTGACACATAGTGACGACATCAGGATTGTTACCGTTTTAGTCAGAGAAAATAAGGCGGGAGAGTCGGCGAGCCCTCGAAATAGGCCTAAAAATAATACTGAAGTCAGACAGGGAAGCCTGACTGGGGCGAATCGGTGCAAAAAGAAATGTCTGAAGTTATGAAGTGATAAAGGAGAATCTCGGTTTCGGTCGCCTTTACCTCCACATGCCATACTTTGTTAGGCAAGAGGAACAACGCCTTTATCTTGTCTCCATAGTTTTCGCCACGTTTATGGGCACGTTCACGGTCACGGGCGGCAGATCTGGAAGTCTGGGAGTCTGCGTGAGGAGGCGAGAACTAAAACCGCAGTGTAATTCATATCAATGTTTTTATGACTGCGCATTGAAAATTGATTGCCATGACTTTGTTCATGTGCAAATAGATTTCTGAAGGTATTTTCCTCTTTCACCCCTACTTTTATTGGTTTTAAACGTGTCTTAACATCAACCACTGAATCCTGCATGGGTTGCGTTTCTTTCGTTTAGTGAGGTCACCGTTAGAAAACGGGTTTGAGCTGCTATAAAAAGTTTAAGTCCAGACTGTACCAGTCAAAAAAAGTGTATTTTACAATGAACTAGCGAGGACCTGTAATGGAAAGATTGAACAGTACTACACAACTATGTTCAAGGCCAACTCGGTTACAGCGAGGGACCCGCCTAAACTCGCAACAGCGGGAGAATAAGTTGTTTTTTGGGGAAAGCGCATTTCAGAAACTCGGTGCTTATGATTTTTTTAAATCAATATGTAGAATTAAAAAAATGTAATCATAGGCTTATGTGTGTGCTCCCTTAATTCAGAGTGAATGCAGTGCATTATCCGTCATGTACAACGAGTAAGCTATAGCAGTGAAATGTTCTCAGCATGTTATTGATGTGAAATAATCATAAGTCATGTTCTGCAGGATACTTTTTCTGTAGGTGACTTTTATATTTTTTCTTCCAAACAAATGCCAACAAACTAAAACTTTTTGGACTCAAACGTCTTCAAAGAATGTATTATTATTATTATTATTAGAATTATTATTACTAGAATTATTATTAGGAAGGGAGGACGGTCTATTAGACCTATTAATGTACTTGCTTTTTGCAATGTGCTCAGTGTTGCCCCTTTCTTTACCCTGTACTTGTGTACAACTTTGTTCAATGAAATGACATATGTTGGTATTTGCATCCTATTTGAGGAGGCCTTATCGCTATGTAATAGGCTAGTGCTTTATGTTATTGACCGTCTTGTAACAATATCGCATTCCATAGGCTATAGCCTATTTGTGGTTGTAAGGGCTGGAAATGTAGGCCAAAAGTGTATAGTGTCAAGAATGGTAAGAAATGGTATGTAAGGTTTGTTTAATTTTTTAAAATTTTACAAATGTTTTTATTTTTTTAATATTATTATCATTATCATTATTATTATTATTATTGTTTTACCATTCATGACATTTAAAAAAACGACGTTTCAATGTAGTAGTTGTTTATTATCGTTATTTTATGTCACTCCGATTGCATTCCTTTCTTTGCGCTTGTAAGGATTGCTACGTTGTCTTGTAAAAGTAATAATGATATGAATGTATATGCGTAAGGTCTTCAATAAAACACAGTATTGAAAAGGTTACTGGTATTAGCCTGTTATTATGTTGCTTATCTGAATGTTCTGCTTCAACACCAATGATAACTGTGGGGATTATTTTATTGGACGTGACCTGTAACACGGTTTAAAAGCTACACGCGTCCACCACACTGAAATAAAGATTTGAACATTAATAGGACATTTGAAAGCATTTGAAAGACTGTTTTGTTGGCACATTAATTACACATGCTGTGAAACGTAAGAAAATAGAGCCCACACAGGGGGAGCTTTTTATTTTATTTATTTATTTATTTATTTTATTGTTGCCGCAACAGATGCAAAGGTAGGTTATAGACAAATAGGTAAAAATGCAAAATTGCATCCAGGTGCATATTTTAAACTAACACTGAATATTGTGTTTATAAAGCCTGGGACACAACAACAACTACAAAACACCTAGACTGGTTTAAAGTAAAATTCCCTTTTCCGTCCTTGTGGTTTCTCTTGAAGTTCGACCTAATCAATGTCACTGGTATGCTACAAGCCTATAACGGCGCAGCTAAACACGCAATAGCTCTGTAAAGCAGTAATGGGGTTACACCCCAGTGCTCCATATAGTCGAGCCCTTTGGACTGCCTTTTCCTTGTGTATCCCATCTTCTGCCTTGCAGTGCGGATTTATAAGTGTGATAATTATATATCAAAGTAAAGTTCATTATAACATGCACGCAGACCAAATAAACATCCTTCTCTTAAATGACGTGCACAGTACGCACACACTCCTTTACAATGAACCGTTTCTAAAATCCACAAGGCTCTCCCTACTGGCAAATGAGTGTAAAGCAATGCGCGGCGGTGCAGCGTTGTCCTGTCAGCTATCTAAACATGCAATTGTACGTTTGTCTTCAACAGTTTGCAGTCTGAGTTATGGTGAAGTAGGCTATGTTCACTGGAAACTGCTGTGCTGTCTGCATTTGGAATCAGATGTTGCCATTTCAGTGAACTGTGAACGTCTGCTCCTTGCAGCCGCCTGACTGAATGACATTCCTGACTTGGTCTGTGCGTGATCAGGCATACATGTACAAATGTAAGATTGCGTGAGCTCATTGCTTGGCACAATCCCCTTGGTGTTCGATTAACTATTGCCTCGGATATTTATGATTTAAGATATATCAGCGAGCTTTTGAAATTTCGAAACGTTTATTTTGAGTTGATAGAAGTCTTGCAGGAGTGTTACGGGAGCTACATCATATTGCTGTTTACGCAAGTAAAAGAAGCTGATATGTGTGTCTGTTTACCTTAATACCGACAACCACCTTCCTTAGTTAGGCGGATCTTAAACCGCAACAAAAGCCTTTCTATTATTTTCATCAATTCAGAATTATTTTTGTACTTTTATGTGCTACATATGATTTAATAAATATAACGGCTGTACGGTCCTCCGTGAGGTTGTCTGTACACACTGCTTCAAAAAGGGCACGATGTATGTGCGGATACGAAAACAAAAATCTAAATGCTGATTTTTTAAGTAACCCTAGTAAATGTAATTAACACTTCTGCAATTATTTATGTTTTAAATACATGACACTTCAAGGGAAGGCGTAAATGAAAGACACATGCTGGCATCATGTAGATTTTGCTTTGGCCTACCTGATAAAACGGTAGGCCTAAGCAAAATCTACATTTGAAATCGTTTCGATATATCACGGCAACGGAATTTTAATCATTTCTTTACCTTTAAAACAAGAAAGCAGTGCGTAATATTCTCATATTTTCCTTTTTACGCAGCGATGACAACACACATGTGTCCGTGTATGTTTTAATGAATACACAGTGCATCATATTCACAAAGCGACGCCAATCTGATGCAAAACATTACTCGTTAAGCGCACCTAGTATTTGTTGCAATAATTAACTAAGACTATGAAATAATGCCAGGCGATCTTAAAGTGGCTTTATTGAATTTGATCACCGAGAGGACGTCGTTCATAACAGCTCCAGCCTTTTCAGGTCATCAAACGCGTTGTTGACCATGAAAGGAGATAAAATTGTATCTTATGTTTGTGCGTTGCCTTGTTAAATTGGTAAGAAGAGAATGGCATACGGAAAAAGCACCATCGTCTTTCTTGCTTTTTGTTTAATCGCAAACCTCCGTGACCATACTATGTTACAAATATACAAATATATATTTTAGAAGGATTCAGGAAAACCTGTCATGAAGCGCTGACAACACTGGCAGAAACTCATTAAGGTTCCATGGATCTGCTTCTATAACCCGCAAAAGAACCTATTGACATGAAAACGAGGGCGAGAAGCAATAGATATGAACCAGGATCCATGGTTTGTAACAAACTGCGGTAGATTAACGCTCACTTAACAAAGAAAGAGTAAAGTGCAATTCACAGCAGCAACAATTTGCATGACACCTTAATTCGAATGTATTTTGACAGCTACGTAATTAGACTAAGCACCCAAACAAGTCTATTTTCAGCACAGCGTGAATGCGATTAGTGTCATGACTAAATGACACAAACACTCGTGTGTATTTAGAGGCTAGTTCAATGCGTCATTTGTAAAATGGTTGGATTTTTTTTGGGACTCATTAACTTGACAATCAAGCCTTTGAACTGTGTCGAATCAAATGCCGAACACGGAATTTTAACTTGAACTTCAAGCCAGAGTTATCTGTTAATATTATTTATTACTTTTTGTAACTTGTTTATTTAGACAGAGGATCTTTGCTTCACTTTATCATTGCTTGGAAGGTTTTCCACGTCCGGAAACACCAGTTCACGACGCCATTACCTGCCACTCTGTTCTTCTAAGGCTGTTCTTCTACTGCGTAATATCTAATTTTAGTTTGCCTTTACATGTCTTGTCTGCATTCTAAAGTGATCGAATTCCCTTTCTACAAAATGATGAGTTTAAAAAACCAAAAACAATCAAAGATATGCTTTGCGTTTCCAGACAATCTGGTGATATTTGGCGTTGCAGGATTTTACAATAGGTCTTTCACAGCTCTTGAGCACTTTTGACTTTGAGACTGGCTAAATCTGTTTATGGCAGCCTGTCTCCGCGTCCCAAAGGTCACTGAGCTTCACAGTGCCCTTCGCAGAGAACTTGTGTGGAGTGTGGTCTACGTCCCCCGTCACCCCACTGTCGTTTATGGTACAAAGCTGGCCTGAGAAATAGAAAGCTCTGTTATTCCTACTAAAGTGTGTGGCAGAGGGGGAGTGTGGAGTGTGTGGACGTGCGTGAGTGTGAATGTGTGTGTTTTAAAGGAGACTGTTAATGTGATAAAGAGAAGATAGGTAGGATGCTCAACGTAAGAGATCTATATCGTTTTACGTCTTTCAGAACTATTATATATTGATTTTGACATGATTTGAAATGAGTTCGCCACTAGCTGCTTTTTTTCTGAAATGCACGCCCGTATCAATTTGTTTTTCAATAGCATCGCGCCTCCAACAGCCCTTAATACGAGGTGTGAAGGTTTCATTGCTCTCTCAAAAGAGCCGAATTCCTTTTAGACCAGTTGTCCCTGGTGTAAAGAAAGGCAAAACATTTCAGAATCGATTGAAATCATTGTAATGTTTCTCGATCAGCCAGTTGTATTATCACGGCAGGGCTTTATGTTATATTTTCGCAATAATATAAAGAATGTAAACATTGTGCACAGCGCTGGTCAGCTCGTGTTTATGCAGTATGGCGCTATATAATGCCGGTATTTTGATTGAACTTTCTTTCTTTTTTCTTGACAAATTGTTTGATTTTCTCTCTGACGAGGACACTTAAGGCGTTTTTAATTGGCATTCCGTATTTTTGATAGAGGACTTGTCTTTCCAAGGGCGACTCTTTCCAAGGGCCTTAAAGTGCCCACTGAAGGTCAAGTATGCAAGCATGGAACTGCATTAACTGTTTCATACATGGTGAAAAATTTTGCGTCACCTGTTCAAGTTTGATCAGCGTTGGTTCAAGTCATGTGTGGTGTAGCTTCAGCTATATTACCGTCTATTATTTTATATGCATTGGCACGGTGTAAATGTAAGGGCTCCTTAAAAAGCAAACATATATCAGAGCTAACACAACATTAGCACTAAGTTTAAGCAAGTATTTCAAGCATATCTGAGATGACAGCAGGAAACTCGTCGCTTTTAGTTTGGGCATATTGAACCATTTTTCGCAAGACTAACGCAAACAAAACCGACTTTTGACACCCACGCAGAAATCAGCCACCAGTATCTCAGTTTGCATTAGCGTTCAAAACTTTATCACGATTACCCTGCTGTATGCGTGGATATGTACATTTTCTCAGTTGGGTTTGGTAACATCAGAAAAGATTAGATCAAATATTAAAAACAAAACAAAACAATAACCTCAGGAATTTCCTTGTAACGCTTGAAAAAAATTAATAAAATGAAATAGTATAATTATTACACTAAAGTTGAGTTATGTCAAAATATGACGAAACCAAACAAAATGCATTATCTTTAAGTTAGCAAATTCAAAATAAACACGTGCGTCACGCTTGGGTCCGTCCAATGCGTAATATCGTAAGCGCGGTAAAAAAAAAAAAAAGGAAAGAAAAGAAAACGTATTTATTCATTTCTTCACTTTTTAAATGCCCCTTCTTATTATGTGATGTGATTTAAAAAAAGATAATTTAGGTATTTTAGAAGATTAACTCTAGTAAATAGAAGATTCCAGTGCACGCCGAGCCTAAAAATATCCTTCTAAATACATCAGCATGTGACAGACCATAGCCTCAAGTAGGCTCTTCAAATAAAATGCTCTTTATTCTGACTTTTGTAGAATAGTATTAACCGTGAAGCCGAGTGTCCCTCTAGCAAAACACAAATAGAAGCTCACGTTTAGTTCCTCTAGAATTTGTTCAGATAGACTCGCTTCACTGTTCCTCTGCTTAAATGGTTTCCAGGTCTCTCTCTCTTTCTCTCTCTCTGTCCTTTTTAGGGCGTCGAAATAACACATGGGAGCTGAATCCAGTAGTCACTATACTGAGCGATTTCTTGTGATGTGCAATCATTTAATACTTCTAATAAAAAAAGAGCGTTAACACATTGTTGTGAAAGCTTTATGTCCTTGTGGTTGAAAGTGAAATACACTCTGGAGATTGCTCTAAATGTAACAGCAACACACAGCCTTATCTTGTCAGCTATTGTTGTCACCACAAACGCTTTACGCTAGGTGCACTCACGAAGATCTTAGTTTAAAAAAAAGAAAAAAGAGTGAGAGAGAGAGAGAGAGACAAGAAAAACAAGCCTCTTTAGTGTTGCCTGGAACTCTTCACAGCTCATACAGGGAAGTTTAACTGCCCGGCTTACATCCAATTAAACTTATCTAGGCCATGAGGGGACAGTAATATGATTACGCAGGCTTCCCACATTTAGCCTTGACTTCAGCTAACTGTAGAGCAGTGTCCTGGTAAACTGCACCCATTGTGTATTTGTGTGTGTGTGTGTGTGTGTGTGTGTGTAGCTCTGTGTCTGTGGTGAAACTTGTATCTTTTGGCAATGGCTTTATCGACACTTTGGCGCAACCCCTTTCTTTCTTTCTTTTTTTACAAGAAGGTGACGCCTAGGCTAACAGCTGTAATTTTGGTGCTAGGTAGCAACACATAGCTTAAATTCCTCAGACAGCTAACAGTGCTTTGACATTGATATTTAAGGGAGTATTAGCAAAGCACCAAACTGAACATTGTGTCTGAAGACTACTGGAACGTGCACTTAAAATGTTTTCATTGTCTGAGTTATTTTTTATTAGAATTATAAGGAGACATATCTGGGATACAGGCCATTTTGCTTTAAAACTCTGCATACGCTTTGCCTGCTCATTTGGTGCAGCCTTATCAAACTTTCCTGGGTCCTACTGCTAGCGGAATTTCTGCTCCGGCTCCCACATCCAGTGAAATAAACACATGGTAAATCCTATTCTTTCACTTTTGTTCCTTGCGCACCAAGGTGAAAGCAGTCAGTGTTTGAACCCACAGGAAGCGGATATTGCCAAGTGATGGACGCTGGCTGGTCATATTTTTCCATATTATGACAATTACCGCAACTTAAATGCAACCAGGAGTGCCATTTTCCATTTGTTTAAATGTAGAAATACTTCAGAGTCCAGAGAAGCCTTTCAGTGTTTCTGTTGTCGAGATCAGCAGCTTTAACCTTTAAATTTTATTAGTGCATCGCTTATTCATACCCTCGCATTACTTATTTATGCCGGGCTATTACGCATCATTGAAATGATTATGATGAAGAAATGAATTGCCAGTATTGTTTTGGACTGTCTGCCTCGATTCTGTTATTGCCCGCTGAAAGGAAAGTTTGGAGTTTTTATTTATTGTTTTTTTTTTTATTATTATTTATTCTTTATTTCTTGGATGATATTATGATCAGAGCGATGCTCACACAAGGATGCATTTTAAATGTCATAATTCAGAACCCTTATTACAGCCAAGGCCAATTAGTATGGCGGTTTTTCGGGTTTTAGAAATTCAACTTCAAATGCAAGTCTCGGGTTTATTTTTATTATTATTTTTAATCACACGGTGCACTATGTATTTCATAGTGTTAATATTGGCAATGACATTTTGATGCGCGAATTATTATTGTTGCTGCACAGCAGCACAACAGTAATGGAGCAGCATGTGTCAAACATGTGTCCATATAGGCCACAGGGCCAGTGTGTTTACACAAATATTTCCAGAGCTGTCATTGTTAATGAGAAAAACAAAATAAATAAATACAGCAGCCGGGCTTCACGCATCACAAATAAATTCTTATTGTCTTTTTCTTTTTGCTTATCTCAGTATATTTTATTCCGAGTAACTTTGAGTAGATATTTTGCCTCGCAAACGTCCCAAACACCAGATTTGAAACTTTTATTCCGATATTCGTGGAACAAAAGACCAGATTTCTTAAATATTTCTTAAGTGCGTTTGCCGGCTCGAAGTAAAAAAAAACAAAAAACCCAAACATAAATAAAAAATCAAACTGAAATTAATCTCGCTGCCTCTTTGTAGAAAGGTTGCACAATATCCACTTCCTGAAATCCAAATTCCTCTCATTCTCAGCGTTTATGGTTTTCTATGGAACAAAGGGATTTAGCGTTACTACAGCCATTCGCAGTTTTATGGTGGACGTAGAGAGGATTTTAGTGGTCAAATTCAAGTGCTGTGTCTGGACAGCTGTCTGCTTTCTTTGTACTTGGATTCAGGATGCATCATGTGAGGCAACCTTTTGTCTGTAGGGGTAGTAAACAAGCTAATGCCATTGCCACGTTTTCACAAATTCGCCTGCAGTGGAATCTCACTTCCAATGCTTGAGGTCGGATGATGTTGCTTCTTCTTCCCATTGCTGTCGGGAATCACCGAAGTCACTAACTTTCTTTGAATTTATATATGTATAGCAACACAGGTGTCCCCGAAGATACTGCAACAGGACGATATTGTGTTATTGGAAAATTGGGTAATAATTTGAGAGTATATTGCAGCGTTTAGGAAGCAGCCTATAATCATAAACAATGGGCCATCATATTAATTTCACCTTGAGATAGTATCAGTTAGTCTATAAAGATTCTGAGATGGCCCTCAACAGTACAATTAAAAGTTTACAATGACGCAGGAAATCACACGCAGGCGCATCTTTTCTCCAAACAATTCATTTTATTGGAATTTTTTTTAAAGTTCGAGGAACACGTCCCTGTCTGTCACGCACGGATGAATGTCGACATCCTGGTGAAAATAAAATAATCAGAGCAGCTTGGACCATCAGCTGGGACTTATTTAATTTTAGAGGGAAACGTCGGATGCACTCCTACTACTCGGTCGATAGGCCTTTAAGTAGCGCAGCGCATTACTGAAAGGACTAATACTTGCTCTGCTCTGCATCTTATAGATACTTATAGAAGGATTTTCATGCCAATAAAGTCCAACCACACCTTTTCCAAACTTATAAATCAGAACATTTTGCTATTAAGCTATTCAACACATTGAATATTCTGAGGAGTGTTGCCAATAACCACTCCAAACTGGAGTAATACTAAAGCCAGTCATTTGAGGTACTAATTATTTGTGTGTGTGTGTGTGTGTGTGTGTGTGTGTGTGTGTGTGTGTGTGTGTGTGTGTGTGTTTATATATTTGT